TTTTACGTGCATTCTAATGTATACACGGGACCTCGGTTTTTCGTCTCATCCGAAGGGCTAGACAGCTGTCCTTGTCAGGCTCTCCGTTCTGCACCACTGACAAGGGGAAACCACGTCGGAAAATCCAGATGAACTTTCTCGGCCAATGCAGGGATCGAACACCCGACCTCCAGGCTAGCGAGCCAGCGTCTTAACCACCTAGCCACCGTGGCTCCCCTGGCCGGATCGGTGTGTTATGACATGTGCTATGTAATAACCGCAACTCGTGCCCAAGTTTTATCATCTGTTTATCATATCATGGAGTGAACTTAATTAATAGTTAATCAAATTAGCAAGTGGAACAGACTTAAATTAGCTATCTAACGATATTTACATTATTATTTACATGGATAGAATTGAAATTAGGATGTCATATTGTTTTATCTGAACACATTTTACCAATCTTCAATAAGATATTTTGAAAGAACTTATCAAAATTAATAACGGTTTATCTCTATAATTTTTAAACACAACACAAAGCAAGACAATACGTTCGCTCAAAATTCTGAGCACGACCCTCTCCTGGGGTTAAACCAATCCCACCTGACTGGGGTTTCACATAAAACTTTTCCCGTAACATATCGGGACATCCCAATCTATATTATTGGGGTATCACAAAATAAAAAAAAATCTCTCCCGTACATATCGGGTCATCCCATTAATATTAGGGGTATCACAAATAAAACTCTCTCCCGTAAATATCGGGGCATCCGATTAACATTTGGGGTAATATACACATATAGACAAAACAACCCCCCCCCCCCCCAAAAAAAAAAAAACATAGAGATAAACGCGTTAATACTTTGTGAATGTTATTGGGTTAAATTCCAAATTACGATACTGTTAACCCAATTCTAGTTAAACAATCACAAAACATTTTACTTTTCGATATTAACCTGTTAATACTACTTTTAAATGCCAAAATATGTGCTGAAAAACAAGCATTTATAATTTATAATCTATAAAAACAACATGACCCATTGTAAAACAAACAATATATACAATTTTGTTTTAATCATTTTCCTACAAATAGTTAAGGACTGTTCCACTACTAGCTTGAAAGGCAATATATTAAATTTAGTAACTACACCATGATATTTAATAAAGCGTGATGATAAACTGCTGATTTCCCAGTTAAATTATAATGCATATATAGCACAATGTCAGGATTTACCGTAGCCATGGTAGGATTAGAAAATGAGTTACCTTAGAAATAATTCTTTGATCGCCTAGTGGTTACACTGAGTATGCTTTTAGTATTTTTTAGAAGTATTTATTTCTCTTCTATTGTCATATTGAATGAAATTAAATATGTTTATTTAGCCGCTGTGTGTATGAAAGATGTCAAACTAATCAAAGCCGAATCACAAAATAGTCCTCTAATTATTCAATATGGCGGCGCCTATAAAAGGTAATTTCACAGAGGCGGTTTTGTTTGCGAAGACAAATTTAGGAGTATCTAACCTTGTTTTGAAAGATAAACAGATTGAATCTCTAAAGACAGTTTACAATGACAAAGAATTTATTGCAACATTACAATGACAAAGAATTTATTGCAATATTACCCACTAGTACATATTATATATCGCTTTTACCAGATTGACAGAAGTTTACATTTTGCTAAAGACACGTGTTTACATAAAACACGTGCGAGCTCGGGTTATTTTTACTCTGTTGTGTACACAAAGCGTTAGTCCGGCCGATAAGTCCCTCCCCAAAATGATCACGTGGGCTTTTTAAATGGCGGCTAATTGGGGCAGTGATCATAATGACGTATGACGTAGATGGATCGCTGCGTGCAGTTGTGTCTTCTAGTGATAAATTTTGTGGGTTTATATATAAGTTAAAATTATCAAGTTTTAGCCTCGGCCTATATTATTAAATTATTTTTTGTGTCTTACTTTATTTAAGACATGGTTTGTTGGGGTTTTCATTTTTAAAATTATTATATAATAATTATACTATTATAATTATGTGTCGTTTATTTAGGATTTGTTTCATATAAACTTTTCCTTGTAATTTTTATTCTTATTTTACAGAATTAGACAAGATAATCTACGCAGTTTATGGTGGCCGTGTTGCTTTAAAGTTAAAGGAGGTAAATCGCTAATATTTGAGACCTAGAGCAATCCATATAATAATGTAACTGATTTACATTCAATCGTTTCCGTTTTTACTCAAAGTTCAATTCAATTATGTTCGGCGAAATATGTCAGAAGTCTCAATTGCATGACAATCTCTAGCGTATGGTTATTTCTGGTTATGTCTAGCCTCGTTCATCGAGTACCTTATTACAAAAGGTCCTGAAACGCATTATGGTACACGATACGTGTACCAATGGTAAAATGATTATTTTGTCTTAAATATCGGATATCAGAATCCCATCTTTTCCCGGTAAGATCACAACATCAATGTTGATTTAAACTGACAAATAATTTGTATTTTCAAGGTGGAAGTCTTTGGATGATATTGAGTTATAGACTTGTGTAATTTGACAGATAAACAAGGAAAACTATGATTTCTATGGAATTCAAAGCAGCATTAAAAATTATGTGGCATTTATGATAAAAAAAACCCCTTTAAAATGGTAAGTATTGTCAATTTATATAAAAAAAACCTCAAAAACATTAAACATTCCGAGTCAAATAAAATATGTGAATACATGTATGTGTGGATTTAAAATCCTCCAAACTGATACTGATAGTTAATGTATCTACAATGGTAGCTGTCTTTTTTTAAATCTAGCATACCATGGATGATATTGAGTTATAGACTTGTGTAATTTGACAGATAAACAAGGAAAACTATGATTTCTATGGAATTCAAAGCAGCATTAAAAATTATGTGGCATTTATGATAAAAAAAACCTTTAAAATGGTAAGTATTGTCAATTTATATTAAAAAAAACCTCAAAAACTTTAAACATTCCGAGTCAAATAAAATATGTGAATACATGTATGTGTGGATTTAAAATCCTCCAAACTGATACTGATAGTTAATGTATCTACAATGGTAACTGTCTTTTTTTAAATCTAGCATACCAAAAGCAACCATTACATACATGCCAATCAAAAACATTTCCTATCTTGACAGTTAAGTTACACTTTTGCAAAGTGACGAGTGTTGTGCATGGGCAGGGTATGCCCAAAATATCACTATTAATATTACACAAACCCTGTTGGCAAGTTTACAAACCTATGTATTCCTTCTAGAGGACAGAAACATTGTACATTTGTGAATGGATGTGATTCATGTATGTCAGCATCTAATTAACTAGAACATTTGATATCACTTCCCACTGGAAAGTTTGCAAATAATGCTGAATGTTTTACATATGTACATGTATATTGAGAATTTGTGTATGTGCTGGATTTAGAAAATGAATTGAAAAATACACCTTTACATTATCTATTTTTAGAAACATAGGGCAGGAACTGAAATGTGATTTAGGATTTGTTGACTTTAATATAATAACAGGTGGGTATAACAAATTGTAAATAATGTGGATTATTCCATTTGATGTACATACATTAGCTGAATTCTTTTTAAGTAAATTGGGTGGCCGAAAGGATAACGTGTGCACATTTGATCACAAGGTCTGTCATTGAGTCCAGTGGCGTAGTTTCAGTTGTCCACTTGTATGTGACAGGCAGTAGGGTCGCCTGTCAAGCCTCGTGGGTTTTCTCCATGTCCTCCCACTGCTTAAGACCCCTACACACTAGCGTATTATTAAAATAAATTTGAACCATGTGTTTGTCCCAAAATGACCTAGTTTGTGTCCAGAAGACATTAAACCTCTCCCTCTGTGTCTCTCCCTTTCACACAAATGATACATTCATCATTAGGGTATAACTATATACGTGTAATAAGCCTTAGCAGACATACATACATTGTAATATAGCCCTGTATTCAAGTCATGAAAAATCCCTGCAAAAAGGCTGCTATTATTGTAATTAGATATCATATCCGGAATATGAAGGCTATTTGTACAATGTGTGCCTCATATCATAGGGGCAATATTGCTGTCCACTGTGCCACTAGTGGTACACCATACATCTGCAGTGAAAGTAGTGCATGAAACAAAATGGCCTTTTGTTTACAAATTATTTGAAAACTTTGAGGTCCTGTAACTAAGTTTTGATATTAAGGCATAGTGATTAATTTTTGAACAGTGGTCAGAACATTAAATGCTTGTAAATCGTACATTCGGTCAGCTTTAAACTGGACACAAGTCTCTCGTCAAAAGTCAAAACCCAGTAAATCACTCTTTTTTATCAAAATTTACTAAGGACCACATTTGTAGTGACTAGGGTATGTGCTTTTTGTTGTTGTACTAGATATTCCGATCTTTTGATTTTGTAAGCATTTACACCCACGACACAGTCTAGCAACTTCCTTCATTTGCCTAGTATGCCACAGAAAAACCTAATAACTCAATTCGGTGAAAACGCTGGGGTTTAATATTCATTCATTATATTTCCCTTTGTTTTCTCAAAATAAGAAAGCGTGAGTTACTAGGTGTTGCTTTTTGACGGATGAAGTATAAATTAGATAATTTTTCGTGATTTTAAATGATTTTTACGATACTGAAATTACTTCTAATTATACGAGATTAAATGATAGCCAGATGACTGATTTATTAACACAATATGTTCCAGCTAGAACTGTACGTTCATCAAATAGTAAACGACTGTGTTAAATTCTAATAAATTGAAATAAAAGTTTATCATGCAGATATTAAGCCATTATAATCAACAGTGGTTGAATATGTTATTGTATTTTTATATATATATTTATATCTAGCGAATTAGACAACAAATAATTTTATTAGAAATTTAATCATTAAATTTAACGGTGCATTGGCTACTATTTATCAGAAATATTATTAATCGCGTTGATTTAATACAGAACATTAAACTTTTTCATTGTGATTTTAATATTAAAATTACCTTCCGTATATAAGCTATTTGTGAGTTTAGATATTGAGAATGCCGAGATTACTTGAAGAGAACACAACACTGTCATGAGGTCCGGCAAAATGGAAGGCGTAAGTAAATTATCTTACATTGGAATTCAAATATTTAGTTGTGTTAGACAAATGAAATGAAATAGGTTTATTGCAACAACCCCTTTAATGATGGAGACGGCTATACGCATTGGTGTTATTAGGGAGAATTTCCGCCGATTAATGATTAAATTATGAATGGAAGTCGAACAGAAAATCGGAACCTAATCCAATAAACATCGTATGCTAGCGATGTCATCGAGCGTTGATTATGATCTGGATAAGTTAATTAATATCTAATTAATAATTTAGATAACATTTCAGGCCTTTTAAAGAAAGACCTGCAATAGGCAGATTTAGCTCTTGCATAATGTATGTTTAAATGGCAAGGGTTCTTTAATGTCCCATTCGAACGACTAGACACTGTTCATTGCCAGGTCCACCGTCTTAAACCTTACTGGAAATCCCTAAGGAACTTTCTCGGCCAATACCGTGATCGAACCAGGAAACTAACATTTAGTGAGCCAGTTCCTGACTCCAGGAACTACCGTAGAACTGAAGAACTGACCCTCTTTGTAGGGGAGTTGGATGGACGAATGGTTAGCGCGCGTTGTATCATAAGCTCTGTGATTGAGTCAACTGGCGTGGTTTCGATTCCCCGTGGCAAGGAGTAGGTCGCCTGTCCAACCTCGTGGGCGTCCCCCGGTTTCCTCCAACTGCTAAGCGAATTATTGAAATAAAATTAAAAACCATGCACATCATTCCTTGTCAGATGAATACAATGTGTCGTTTTATTTGTAGGTAAAGATATTGTTGGTTCTGTGTTTAATGCTGGAAAGCTGTTACGGCGGCTGGGTTAATTCTTTTGATTATTATTTGAATTTTCAATGTCCGACGGGCCAACAGATTGTAACAATATCAAGTTATCACAACGATTATTACGAGGATAGGAAATGGAGTTACCAATGCCAAGACTATGCCACACTGGGCTCCTGTACATGGCACGGTAAGCACAATGTAACAACAACAAAAATCCGTGAAAAAACGTAAAATATTCCGGAAACAAAAATTACAAAGAAAATTTCATCAGTATTTGTTTTTCCTGTAATTTACAAAAATTTCTTTAATTAACATAAGTTCCATTTTTAAATACAGAAAAGGAAATCCTGGTAATTTTTGTTTCCTGAGCATGAAAGTGATAAAAAATTTATTGAATTAACAATTCGCTTTTTACGCGTGTGTGAAATAGCTTTATTTAACTTCCGCTTCCACCAAAGTAATATTGAAGTCAATCTTTATACGCAACCTCTTTCCGCTAATATAAAAATACGAAATATCCTAATCGAAAAACGAGCGTAAGGTATCAAAAACCGGTACGTGTCAGTGATTGGACCGGTTAGAGGCTTTCAGATGTAAGTGTGTGGTACTATGAGTTTGCAGGTATAGGCTATATAATCAAAATATAAATAGAGAGAGAGAGAGATAGAAATGGGGTTTAACGTCCACTCGACACAAACTAGGTCATTTCAGGACCAACACATGGTTCAATTTTATTTCAATAATTCGCTTGCGCGTAGGGTTCTTTAGCAGTGGGAGGAAACCGGAGGACTCGTAGAAAACCCACGAGGTTGGACAGGCGACCCTACTCCTTGTCACGTACAACCAGGAATTCGAAACCACGCCAGTTGACTAAATTACAGGCTTTATGATACGGCCCGCATGTGCTAACCATTTGGCCATCCAACCCCCCAAAATATAAATAACAAATATGTCAATGGACATTTTGAAGAGGAGAACGCTAGATCGGCGATGGTCCTGCACATTTTAGCACATATGACGTCATATATGGATTGTGGGTTAGGGTTAGGATAGGGGTTAGGACATGCAGATTTCGTCAAAGCCTGAAGATGTAAACAGGACTATCCCCAACCCTAACCCTTACCCTAACCGTAACGCACAATCCACATATGACGTCACATGTGCAGGACCGTCTCCGATCTAGCGTCCTCCTCTTGGAGAGGGTATTAACGTCCTATTTTTTTTAACCGACTTGGCATTGAACGCGACGCAGAACCTACCGGTGTGAAAAACCGGGGTCCCATGTACATGTGGAAGAAACATAGAAATTCGAAATAACAATAAGCCGCATGCCAGTCTTCATTAGCTTGGCTGGTTCAAAAAGAAATAGTACGTTAAAGACCCATTTTATTTTATTTTAATTGTTATTAGTATTGTTATTTCAGATAGAGTTAATAGTTATGATAATGTGATGAACTTCAAATGTCCAGGCAACGGTGCAATATGCGGATTCAGGGGTTCGCATAGTAATTATTATGAGGACAGGGAATACGGCGTCAAATGCTGTACACTGCCCGAATGTATGTATTTAAAATTATCCATTTATGCAAAAGCTAAATCTGCCTATTGGAGGTCTTTCTTTGGGCTTGAAATGTTATCTAAATTATTAATTAGACATTAATTAACTTATATAGGCATTAATCCACTCTCGATATCATCGCTAGCCTGCGATATTTACTGGATTAGGATCCGATTTGCTGTTCAGCATTCATTCATGATTAAAACATGAAATGGATAATCAAGACTATGTTTTTTATCCTACCGACTTTAGTAATGATGATCAAGGCTAGGCCAAAAATTCAATGGTTGAATTCTGAGTTTAGAGTGGATGAATTTGACTGAAATTTTCAGTAAATTCCCTTTACATTATCCGCCGTGCTTTCCCTAGAAGTATCAGCCTCTAGTCTTTCGTTTGGGACGAAAATCCAAGAACCGTTGATATGGAGTTTAACGTCCTACTGTTCTGCTCCGAACAGGGTTAATGAAGACGGGCATACACCATACAGTGTGCTATGAGGGAAATTTTGCCCGGACAACGGCACCACGGCCTACTGTTATATTGAATTCCGACTGTCAAGTGATCTTTTCCGTGCACGCAAATGTGCACGCTCGGTATTTCGTCCGATCCGAACGACTAGACAGGTGTCTTTGCCAGGCCCTCCGTCCTGCATCAGTGACAAGGGGGGACCACGCCCGTTGAAATCTAACAAAGAGTAGGGTGTAAATCACATCGTGGGTTTTCTCTCGGTCCTCCGGTTTCCTCCCACTGCTAAAGATCCCTACGTGCAAGCGAATTATTGAAATAAAATTAAACCATATGTTAGTCCCGAAATGACCTAGTTTGTGTCCAGTGGATGATAAACTCTCTCCCTCTCGTTATCCCGGTTGATGCAGATGAGTAGGACTTCAATTCATCTTTTTTTTTGTATTTCAGTATTCCCGACAGAATTATCTTGTGAATGGTCTGGCAAAGTAAATGGATATGATCATACCTTTTATTATGGTGTACCGTGGCATAGATACATACATGGTATTTACAGTGTTCACAGTGATTGGTATGAGTAAGTATAATAAATTTAAACATCATGTAATATCGAACATTTAAACATATCATATAACCAGACATATTGAACAATTTACAGTAACTCACAATATGATTCATTTTACAGTATGACTGATTGTCTCTCATTATGGGGGGTGGGGGTGGATGGCCGAATGGTTAACACGTGCGCGCGCTGTATCACGCGGTCTGTCATTGAGTCAACTGGCTGGGTTTCGATTCCCCGGTTGTACGTGACAAGGAGTAGGGTCGCCTGTCCAATCTCGTAGGTTTTCTCCGGGTCCTCCGGTTTCCTCCCATTGCTAAAGACCCTTACGCGCAAGCGAATTATTGAAATAAAAAATTGAACCATGTGTTAGCCCCGAAATGACCTAGTTTGTGTCGAGTGGACGTTAAACCCCATTTCTCATAAAATCCAGATTTTAGTAATTTGATTGGATAATATTAGATTGATTTTAGTCCTTAGCCAATCAAAACTGAAGTATCTACTAAAATTGTATTTTATCTTTAGTTAAGATTTCGAGAAACAGGGCCCTGGATTATTATGCAACAATGGATACTGAACTGAAGAAAATACCACTAGAACATAGCAATAGATGGATCACCCCCTTTAATATCTACCAGCAGATGGGTCACCCCCTTTAATGATCATGTTTTCTGTTTATTTTCAGGGATCGAGTTTTTCAATTCTATGTATGCAACAGATGGCTTTGGTAATAATTCTTTGAATTTGCTAACCCGTCTTTAAGAGATTGTTAGAAAATAAAAATATCTGTTAAACATTTTACATTGTGTTGTTTTTGTTCATATTGTTCAAATTTAATACGTGATGTTCCAGCAAGAGCGGCGTGGTTCTCCCTTGTCAGTGATGCAGGATGGAGGGCCTGAGAAGGACAGCTGTCTAGTCCTTCGGATGAGACGAAAAACTGAGGTCCCGTGTATATATTGGAATGCACGTAAAAGATCCCTTGGCAGTTGGAATTCGATATAAGAGTAGGCGATAGTGCCGCTGCCCGGGCAAAATTTCCCTCATAGCACACTGTATGGCGTATGTCCGTCTTCATTAGCCCAGGTTAGGAGCAGAATAGTAAGACGTTAAACCCCATTTCATTTCATTTCCAGCAAGAGCGTGGCTAAGTGGGTAAGACGCTGGGTAGCTAGCCTGGAGGTCGGGTGTTCGATCCCTGCATTGGCCGAGAAAGTTTAACCAGATTTTCCGGCGTGGTTCCCCCTTGTCAGTGATGCAGGACGGAGGGCCTGACAGGAACAGCTGTCTAGTCGTTCGGATGGGACGAAAAACCGAGGTCCCGTGTACAGATTGGCGTGCACGTAAAAGGTCCCTTGACAGTTGGAATTCGATATAAGAGTAGGCCGTTAGTGCCGCTGTCCGGGCAAAATTTCCCTCATAGCACACTGTATGGCGTATGCCCGTCTTCATTAGCCCAGTTCGGATAACAGTTGGAGGTTAAACCCCATTTCATTTCATTTCATTTCCAGCAAGGGCAAGAATATCGGACCTCGTGGAAGGCATCCATTACTACTAGAAATGGGATTTAACGCCCACTCGACACAAACTAGTTTATTTCGGAACTACCAATTGGTTCAATTTCATTTCAATAATTCGCGTGAGCGTAGGGGTCTTTACTAGTGGGAGGAAACCGGAGGACCCGGAGAAAACACACGAGGCTGGACAGGCGACCCTACTTCTTTTCACGTTCAAACCGGGGAATCGAAACCACGCTAGTTGACTCCATGACAGACCTTATGATACAGTGCGCACGTGCTAATAATCATGCAACCCCTTGGACTAAGATTAAGCAACAATAGAAGGAAACAAACGGTATTTACATTTTATTTCGTATTTTCAATGAGTAGGTAACCATTAGACAAAGAGTGCACAATTTTCTTGTTAAAGAAATTTTACAATACATGTATTGTGATATTTTACAGTATTGTATATTGTTTATTTGTGTTTATTGATGTATTTGATATTTGTCATGGAAATGACACCCTTATAACTTGTTGGAAGGGTTCTTTGTTTAAACTCTTGGATTGGAAGTCTTCTTTTTAGGAACTTGTGGTTGCGTAGACTTCTTTCTAGGAACTCGGGGTTGTGAAGATTGCTTTCTAGGAACTCGTGGTTGCGAAAATTTCCTTTGGGACACATAATTGCGACGATGATAATAATATTCGTCTTCCGGTTCATACCTGTCAGGTGTATCAGGTCTTTCATAGCGATCAGGTGTATCAGGCCTTTCATATCGATCAGGTGTATCAGGTCTTTCATATCGATCAGGTGTATCAGGTCTTTCATACCTGTCAGGTGTATCAGGCCTTTCATATCGATCAGGTGTATCCGGCCTTTCATATCGATCAGGTGTATCAGGCCTTTCATATCGGTCAGGTCTATCAGGCCTTTCATATCGATCTTCTAAATGGTCTGGAGTTTCGTATTCGTAATAACGTACGGCTCTAGATCTAGATCTTCCAACTGGAGATACATGACGTGCTGACCCCAGCACCACAACACTGATCACAATATACAAACAAACCTGAAAAATTCATTTAAAAATAGTTTGAATTTTAACTTACGACATACTTCAAAACACGCATACAATGTAGGTTACTGTTTTTCCTCTACAATAGAAAACAGACTATTTTGAAACCTCAAATAGAAAACAGACTATTTTGGGACCTACATAAGAAAACAGACTATACACTACATGAAGATCTGAGCAGTTGTTTTGGGAGGTCGCGTCAGAACTCATACGGGCGACTTTTGACCCTATGACGTCAGATATTTGATTAACCAATCAGCATTGATATTTCTAGTGGATTACCCACAGGTCCGTGCAGCTCAGGCCAAACGTTCGCCGTTACAGACCGTTTCATTGGCTAATCTCTCACATCATCTAGAACACGTCAATGATAACAGCTATTCCAGATCCTAGTCTAGTAAAGACATGGACCGTATATCATAAGTAAAACGAAATTTTGAACTATAAAAAACGAAACGAAATAGGATCTGTGTTTTAATCAGGTTGGTTCATTTTCCATTGATGTGTAACATCTAATTTCAAACACTTTAAAGGTGCATCCTGTAAGAGCTAAATTTGCATATTGCAGATCTGGTTTCACATGTTATATAAATTATTAATCATACATTCTCTAGAACATCGGATGGCCGTGATTGTTAACGGATTAACACAAAATCGGCATTTTGATATAATTTGATTTAAAAATGGATAACCGAGACTTTCTCTAGAACATCGGATGGCCGTGATTGTTAACGGATTAACACAAAATCGCCATTTTGATATAATTTGATTTAAAAATGGATAATCGAGACTTTGTTTATTATCGTAGCAATAGTACTTGAAAATCGACATTATATCAATAAATTTGACTGAAATTTCCAACATGTTCAATTTTATCTATTTTTGAACTACTATAGCAAGAATGGTCATTTAAAGCTTATACAATGCATCTTACAATAGTAGTAAGTGCAGGATGACTGCACTACCCACAAAAAACAAATCAGACAAGACAAACTTGCGGATAAGACAAGGGGCAATTTATATTTCTAGACGAAAAAAAAGCCTTATCGCATAGTTAGGAATAGGAATAAAATGTGATTGGACGCCCCAGTATTTAGCGCTAATCTCGGGAATTAAGATATACGCAAGCCTGAAAATAAGGCATCTGTCACAGACACAGATTCAGGCTTTGTCAGGCACAAAACTTCTGGTGCCTGTCATTTTGTCCGGCACTGATTTTTCTTTTTTATTGATATTATTAATACATGTTCGGCATTAAGTTGAAAATGTCAGGTAATATTTCATTAGTGCCTGACAGTTCAGAGTCAATTCGTAGGTTGTCGTTGGTTAGTGCTAAATGATAAGGCCAGCTCAATTTCTCGTTATAGGTCACGAGATGTAAACAAGTCTAGCTCTAATCCCAACTCTAACCCTAAACCTGAGCCTAGCCCTCATGCTTACCCCAACCCTAACCTAAAATTCTCCAACAATCACGTGCCCTTACCTTATTTACATCTCAACGACTTGACAAAAATTGACCTGACCTTAACAAATAGATTTAGCCCTTGTCCTACACCAATAACACTTGGAAACCATTGTAGCAATATTGTCGTTGCGACATTGTTTTCAATTTATAGGCAAGGAATGAAGGAATAAGACTATATTATATTTCATTAATTGATATCTTTGGCAAGTTGGTAGATTCACACATTATGTAGAATTGTACTTAAATCAACATAGTTAATAACTGATGGGTTGACACATAAAAAGAGTTATTTAGCCAAAACATGTGTCTATAAAATAACACGAGATATCACGTGCATGGAAATTTACCATTGCATCATTTGGCTTAATTTAACCAATCATATCATTAATTGCACAGGTTCAGGCCCATGATCACACTTGATTGTGCATGATATCTATAAGTCTTATAAAAGAAATCATAGTAAACTTTCAAGCAGACTTCCATTAGATTCAAGAGAGGTTCCATCTGAGTTCCTAGACAGCCGCGAGCCTGGCTAGTGTAGGGAAAATGGTTTTAGCTAGTATTGTTATTTAATAATCTATTATGCTTGTACATGTATTCGGCTATATATATATATATATATATATATATATATATAACATGTAGAAGCGAACTGTTGCATTGTTATTCCTGGTAAGACAAACGTCTTAAGAAAACAGTAAGAAGTAAATACACAACGTGAAGCAGAAGTAAAGACAGGTAGAGATAAATTCTAGACGATCACAAGGCTACAGAAATATGTAGTAAGAAAAGATGCATTGGTCGTATGTAGGATGTGGCAACCGGTTTCCGACATACTCCCGCTCTCCACGTCTGACTAAAGACTCATGGTGCTACACCATGTACTGGAGTGGGGCTTAACGCCGCCTTCTGTGCCAATCGAGCAATTTTCTAGTGGAGTTTCTGCCTGGTCTTCGTTGAATTACAACTGCAAAGAGTTATTTATGTACACGCCAGATTTTACGCGGAACCTCCGTTTTTCCTACCATTCTTTGCAACACTGACATGGAGAAACCAGCCTGAAAATCCCCCCCCCCCCCCAGTAACTTTCTCGGACCTCCTCGATAATCAGCGACGATGCCCAATTGAATATCTATCAATTATATACGAATCTAAACGAATATTGTGATACCGGACCTCCTCGACAATCAGCGACAGTGCCCAATTGAATATCTATCAATCATATACGAATCTAAACGAATATCGTGATACCGGACCTCCTCGACAATCAGCGACAGTGCCCAATTGAATATCTATCAATTATATACGAATCTAAATGAATATCGTGATACCGGACCTCCTCGACAATCAGCGACAATGCCCAATTGAATATCTATCAATTATATACGAATCTAAACGAATATCGTGATACCGGACCTCCTCGACAATCAGCGACAGTGCCCAATTGAATATCTATCAATTATATACGAATCTAAACGAATATCGTGATACCGGACCTCCTCGACAATCAGCGACAGTGCCCAATTGAATATCTATCAATTATCTATGAATCTAAAAGAATATCGTGATAAGATTTGAAACTTACAGTTAAAGAATGCATGATAGCTTGCGTCTGGATAAATTGAGTGTTGAGGCTTGCTAAAGGTGGTATGTTAAAAACAGAAGTTATTGGCTTTTTATACTCGTAGAATACACGACAACGACACGTGAATGATAGATTGTATCTTGAAAATAAAACACACATTTATCTTCTGTCACTCAATT